TCCCAGAGAAGCAGGAAGGACATAAATGAGGTATAATAATAGCGTAAATAAAGAACCCCATGACAGCTGCAATACGCCCTTCACACATACACAGCGCGGATTAACCTTTTGCGGGGCCCTGGGGACTTGAGCATGTGGGGACCCCCAACCTATGAATTAACTACATCAAACCTAATTTGAAATCGGTCAGTGATAAATAAGGGGGGACTGCCACTAGCAGATACTGCCACTAGCAGATGGGAGTCCTCAATCCGACCATGCTCACATCACTTTTTGCGCAACAAATTTTTTTTTGTTTGGTGGACCCCTGGCCCCCGGGCCTAAGCGTGCAAAGTGGTTTATTCGTCGCTGCACATACACTACGACCTCGCTACGGCTTAAAAGATCAACCAGTCCTTGCTGATAGCGGCATGGGCGTGGCGAGATCATCATCATTTTGGTTAATTTTTTCACTACTGTCAAGTGTGCAATGGTAAACGAAGAGGGGTTGGGGATAAATACGGCGACGTTTCCACCTTATATTCATCGAATTCTAACTGTCATGGGTTATTTTACGTGCATCCCAGTGTTTAAACGGATGGACCTCGGTTTGCCGTCCGACCCGAACGACTAGTACTAGGCAACATCTATCGTTGCGGTATATACTACCGGTTTTCAATCAAGGTATGAAATGGGATTGAACATAATACTTCGGTCGCTTTTTGGACTAACATACAGTTATTTATTTCTATGCTAAATGGTGCACATGCTTTCGCCCACTCTTCGTTGAATAACAACTGTCATCGGTTACTTCCGTGCACGCACATGTGTACACGACTGGGCCTCGGTTTTCAGTTCCATCCGCACGATTAAGCACACTTTCCATGTCAGCCCCATAGACTCTTCTTTCTTTAACCACTTAAGTCCGTATCGAAGACGACTCGTAGACTATGTGGCTGCACTATCAACATCTTAGTAGGTTAATTATTTTAGATTACTTTAAACATGCATTATGCAAGAGCAAAATCTGCTTATTACAATTAGACATTAATTAACTTATCCAGACCATAATAAACTCTCGATGTCAAGGCTAGCCTTCGATGTAGGCTGGATTAGATTCCTATATGCCGCTAACGGCCAAAGATAATTAAATCAGAAAAAGTGGATAATCGAGACTATGCTGTTTATATTAATGATTTTAGTAATGATAACCGAGACTATGCAAAAATTTTACCGGCTTCTTTCTCGGCTCATAGTGGATCAATTTGACTGAAATTTTCAGCGAATTACCTTTACATTATCTAGTTTTTAACTATTATAGCGAGAACTGCCATCTCTTTATCTTATCTCCCATAACGTATCTTTAAAATATCTGCCATAGGTATACCAACCTTTATGACATAAAACATGTTGAAAATACAACTAAACAAAAATGTCCACTAATTCCGATGTCGGAATTTACCCACGAATGCCTGCTTAAAATGTTTAATTTGCTCAAACCGAACAAGAAGACGGTAGAACAATCATAAAATCGAATTATGGCTTTAGTAGAATGAACGCAAACGCACACAGATGTCTTCCGCCATGCAATTGTGACGTAAATAGTGACGTCAAGAAGATAAGTCATCGATAAGACATCCATCAAGAAGCGACCTCTACCTAACAGACAGAGACTTTATCTTATCATTCCAAGAACAGAGTAAATATTTGGTTTTCGCCATACATTTTGATTTCAGTAGGTCGATCCAAATAAAATGGGCTATGTCAATTGTTTTAGTTCCATTTTATACGTCAATAATGTTTTATAGTTAGCCTACTCAGTCAAGCAATATCACGCCCTGCAGTACATGTATCAAAAACACCATTTATTAATCAATAGTTTGTCAATATTAATTTTGTGGTTCAAGTTAAAATATGACAAATGTAAGAATCTGGTCGAACCGCTGTGAAGGCCAGTCCGACTATTTGTTTCTGATTCTTCTACTGATAAAAACAGTAAAAATATTCGATGGGAGAGGTATTGTGTTTGACGTCACACTTCTACACTTTAAAATATTCTGAATATTCGATGTAATTGTATATCAGTCTGTTCATGAAATGATGCTCATATAATTCAGACCACGTTTGCTATCGCCATGCTTTTTTTTATGTTGGGTATAAAATAATTAAAAGAAAAATAACCTAATTTTATTTCAAAGGCGAATAACTCGCCATTTAACATTTGTGTGAACATTTTTGGGGGGTTATATCGTGCAGAATAATAGGAAGTTAAACCTATTTCACTTCCTTTTGTCGTTTTCATTAGACCAGTCTTCATTAGTCTAGTCGATGCAGAAAAGTACGACGTTAAGCCCCAGTTCATTTCCTTTTTGGGTGATGTTACCAACAATATGACAAGTAATGCATGCACATTCTTATTCAAGTGTGAACGCATCTAATCGACGATAAACGTAATAATCAAATAGTGATGGTGGCCAAAACGCCAGTCAAATTGCTTAGGACACTTTAGTAACCCTTTATGTTGATTCAAAACAAAAAGAATGTCTGTCTTTTAAATACCTTATTATTTTAATTCCACAGTGAGAAAATAGTCTCTGTCATTATGTTGTTTGTGAACAGAACACCCACCCACATCCAGGGCCCACACCTTCCCATTTCTAACGCTATGTTCCTTCATTATTATATACGGTAGCGCAATACAGTACTACATATGGGATTATTGACTGTAAAAATAGTTGTTAAATCGGCTTACATTTGATAATATATATTACCGCTTTAACGAATCTATAAAGGAATGTAATAAATGGCGTTAATAATATCTTACAGAAGATTATTATAGTTATATTTTCATGAATTTGTTTGCTAAATTACGGCCTTTGTTGGTTAATATGTCCTTTTTAAAAATTAGAAAATGGGACTAATTTAAATGCCACTGAATGTCATATATTTTGATACTAACAATTCAAGCAAGCCTTTGCCAGGCAAGATACGCCCACATTTTGCAAGAGATGGGTAGATAACAAGCTAAAAATAACCCGCGATTTTTCGTACAATCAGGGGCCATAATCTAAGAAGCTAAGGCCTGAAATGCACGAATATCGAAAGGGATTGAGATCTTAGGGATATAAAGATATATTTTAAATTTCATCAAAATCGTGACCTCTAGAGGGTCCACAACCTTCGTATTACATACTTGTACACAATCTGCGTACAAGGAGCGGCCATTTTGTCGGGGAGTTTCGTTTCAATTTTCCCGAGATTCGAACTAAACACTCATTATGGTAGGAACGGTAATATATTTAAACGGTTTTTAAAACCTGATAACAATTGTGTCCTTTAGAGGATTCGAGCGCTAAAAGTGTGTTTTTACGTACAATCAGGGGCCATATTCCAGGAAGCTATGGCCTGATATGTGTGCAAATATCCAAAGGAACTGAGATCTTTGAGATATAAACATATATTTTAAGTTTCATCAAAATCGGAATAAAATTGTGGCCTCTATACTTTTACATAATTTACGTTCAAGGAGCGGCCATTTTGACGGTCAGTTACCGTCCGATATTTATGAAATTCGAATTCAATCATCAACAGGGTGCAACGATGATATGCGTAAACGATTTTTATAATCGGATAAAAATTGTGACCTCTAGAGGATCAAAAAGCTAATATCAGGAGCCATAATCCAGGAAGTTACCGTTCAAAAGGAACCGAGATCTTTAGGATATAAACACATGTTTTAAGTTTCATCAAAATATGATAAAAATTGTGAGAACGTCCACAAACAAATTGTGGACGGACGGACAGGGCCGAGACTATACGCCCACATAAAAGTGTGGAAGGTTAATTTTCTTAGAAGAGCTGAGTTGATCTCACCAGATATTCCGTAACAGCGAGGAGCCACCATTTCTTTACTCGATAAACTTTTGCCCCTGTTACATATTTGAGATGAAAGACGTGAAGTGAAAATAATGATAATTGGAGATACTGATGATGGTGGTAAGGAATGGCCAGCAACAATTCTATAACTCCGTATTTGGTTATGTACACGTGTATTTGTTTTTTAAAATTCCATATAAAGGGAGAGAACACACTATTACGCCGCAATCTGCGCATCCAGCAAGATTTAATTTATCTGTGCTAAATCAATTATAAAAGCACACATCCAAAAGCGAACAATTGTGGTTATTATATTTGGTTCCGATACTGTCAAATTTTCATAACTCAAATTTTGCTGTGTAATGCAAGGGACTTTTTGGTACCTCGAAATTTAGGCTTGCTGTATTATTTTTAAATGCTAAAACACGTGCTACAGACAGGGCCGGATTAAGACCAATAGAGGTCCTAAGCACTTAACAGATTTTGGTGCCCCCCGTATAGGCCTATATGCAATTCCAAATACAACCAATAATAAACCATAAATTAAATTAAGCAGGGAACAGTATGGATGGAGAAAAACAATGAAGAGCTCATTAAAAGTTTTTAATGAATTTTTAAATTACATATTTTAAATTTGTCACCTAACAAAGCAGATGATGCGCAACTCTATCCATGATGCCCTAAGCATGTGCGTATTTTGCTCAGTGGTTAATCCATCCCCAGCTACAGACTTGAGTTTTGAAATGAAATGAAATGAAATGGGGTTTAACGTCCTACTGTTCTGCTCCTAACCGACTTGAGTTTTGATAAAAGATAAAGAATAACAAATACTAGGTGTACTTTCCCACAATTACACTTGAAAGCAGTTTGAATAACGAAATAAACCTTTTCGCCAAAACACTAAGCTAACAGAATTAAACATGATGGGTGGGACCCCATATCAGCTGTGTATTTACCGGGTGGAAACATGGTACCACCCCTTCCCACCACGTGCCAGCATCCAATCTTTTTCGATAATCTCACCCAGGCACTAAGTTTTAATATGACTTATATTCTCGAGGTTAACTGGATGTTAATGATAATGACGATAAGGCCGATTAACATTTCCACTATAAATATTACCAATAGGAAAATAAATTACTTACCGGGTCGAAGACAAAATCATATTTACATTTCTTCGGCCTTACTTCCGGTTCTTCGTCAATATCCATGATCAGTCGTCGTATTAAACAGTTGTTATTAAAAATATATTTACTGTGATATCCTACTTAGTGGAAGCATGGGATACGCCAATGATAACAGATCAGATTTCAGGGTAAGTAAAACAGCTAAATATATATCCACGATAAACGAGAAAACCACAGCTCGTACTTCTGAAACAATTATCCCTCTCGTCTGCTTCCAATTCAGAAAACATATCTGTCAACGGGTTGTAAATAAAAACAGTTTTCGCACGAGTCGCTGCACATAAAATACATCAGATGGTAAACTGATGACCCAAACTATAAGTATAATGCAAAACAAGGCAAGTTTTCCCTGAACAATTGAAACGCGTTTCGTAATGTATTACGGATGTTCATAAATCAGTTCAATGACCCGTGAACTCAAGACTTTTAATATAGTAATAAGTCGTATTTATTGTCGTATTTCTCCAGAAATTTACACGCCAAATCGTGAAATAGATGTTAACCCATTACATCAATACATCCTTCAACCAAGCCACAAAGTTCACATCAGTTTATTTTGATTCCGTTACACACACATCTTACTTCAGAGACGAAGAACACTAAATCGCTTTCAATCTTGTAACACCAATAACAAATACATCCAGCTTATCCCAATTTGGCTATTTAAGTAGTCACAATAGTTCACTTTGGTCCATTAGTTATAATTGTTCACGTAGAATGTTCACATAATTTCAATTGTTCGAAATAATAATATTCGAGATATTCCAACAGTAACAAATATGGTGTTCAAGAGTGGCAAGGTGGATGTCCACTTCGAAGTTGATCACAATAGTTGGTTCTATATAATTGCAAGTATCATGTTCACATAACTTAAATCTGATAATGTTCATATAACTTATACACTTCACGTCTTTCCAATAGTAAAACGTTCACGCTCGAAATAAAATTTGCATAAAGCATCCATTTGTTAATGCTGTTCGTTCGTTCGTTCCTGGAGTTTTAAGTCCACTTCGTATACCATTAGTCTTTAGTATACTCAGCTACATTAATTAATAGGAGACGTCATAACACCTGAAATTATTGAAAATTAATTATTCCTCGTGATATGACTGATTTGATATAGTAGCTCATTTTAAGTTGGAAAAAAAAGAAGAGCATGCAATGTTTCGGCGATGGTACTCTCGTCTTTATCAAGCCAATCCCTCGGGATATGACTGATTCGATATAATAGTTCGTTTTAAGTTGGAAAAAAACCCCACAAACAATTGAAGTGAGGTAAATGACAAATTTCCTTTAAAAATAGAAAACAACAATGGAAAAGAAGCTGATTATGACCATCGAATCATTGTTAAACTAATTGTATAATTTGCAAATTGTTATTTACAAATTCCAATGACAATCTTAAAGATGCATTATGCAACAGCTAAATCTAGAACTAAAATTTTCAATAATTTGCTTTATCTATTTTTGAACTATTATAGAAAGAATGGACATCTCTTTGTCTAAATCTTACATAATGCATCTTTAAGTACGGTATTTTCTTAATTATGTGTGAAAAAGTGAGTTTTAACTTAGATATATTACATTTAATGCTAATGCCCCAGTACCACAATACTTTATCTTTGCTTATGTATAATCAACTAGAAATATATAATAATTAATATTCGTTGCACTTACGAATAGATAATGTTCAGCGGAATTGTCAGTAACTGACTATTCCAGAAAACTGACCAATCTCCAACGTTTGTGTTTAAAACGTTTTTCTAGGAAAGTCGACTAGCACCTTACATACAACAATACCAAGTTTATCAACTAATACAAAAATCCATTATCAAAATAGTGTATATTATGTTATTAATCTAAATATCGTGCGGTTTATTTTCATAAAGGAGGTCATCTTCCAAATTAAAAACGTGCTTTGAATTACATGGTATACCAATTATATGTATCAATTCACTTGACGTCATCATTCGATAAGCTAATTCCAAGGTTATCTTAAACATTGCCATAAAGATTAAAGCACATCTCCTCCTTGTCATTATTCATAGTTATCTTATCGTTTAATTCCAGTTAATTTCAAGCTATGATTATGAACTTAATATTTAACTAGAACTACAAAAATAACACGTATTTGAGCATTGTTTGCGGCCTTGACATGTTTCACATGACGTAAAATCTGAAGCAACCCATGTGTCTTATATTAAAATTATTATAGCAAACATGGATTATAGCAAATACGATTACAAGTAAATGAACATCATTAAATTTGTGACCTCACGTATGTTGAGCATTCGAAACGGTACTGTTTGTGGGTGGGTGTGAAAGCATAGATGTTAGTGGGGGCAGACCTGAAATGCCCGAAAAAATTCCCGCTTTCAGATTTTACCGTCTAGAGACCTCCCCAAGAAAGTTCGGAAATCTTGACGGCCGACGGCCACAAACGCGTTTTCCTGCTATTACAGCCAGTGAATACAGCAACTTCTATGTGGTCCAAAAGAGCCTAACTTAGGTGGCTGACTTGAACCAATCGATCGTTTTGTCAACGGATCGCCGGTCGTCGCGAGTTATGGGGAACTCGCACTATCCGAGAGTCCGTTAACTTCAAAGTTGTCCAGTGGTTTTGCATCTGAAATCCCACTCTACGCCGACCTGAATTCCAATCATCCAATCAGACTGTTGGAGCTGCATTCACAATTAATGACAGCCAATGCGCGAAAAATGTCGCACAAAGCAATGTGACTCCAGACAAAATGTTTAATCCATATTCAATTTAGTACATATTCACGGTATTCAATTAAAAGAAAAGTAACATTATATTAGTGTTTTATTAGATTTCGGGCACTTTATTTTGCCAACTAAATGATATTTTGCCAAGCAGAGTGGCTCCAGACAAAATGTTTTAATCCATAGACAATTCAGTACAAATTCACAGTATTCGATAAACAGAAAAGTAAAATTAGTGTTTTATTAGACTTTTGGGGCACTTTATTTTGCTACTAGATTATATCATAATTTTATTCCCCACTTTACCCGTCTGCCCGGAAAGTATGCCTATGGAAAGCAATTTAATACTACTGATTGTCATTGGCATTTTTAGGGAAATATTTAACTTTTTCACGGCTTAATCCTCGCTATAAGACAAAATATAGTAAACGGCATATACATGTAATCACCCTGCTTGGATTCAGTCGGATTAAAAACAGAGGCTCATCAAAGACTTTTTTTTAGGAAATATTATATGTGGCGCTGGCTGGCTCTGACCAATTCCTATTTATACCACCTGCAGAGGATCTCGAATGTTGACAAATTCTTCATTTCTTTATTGATATTGAACAGAAATGATCCATTTTTGGACAGCGGACATTTCTATATAGAAACATCAGAACATTACAATTTGCAAGGGATTAATCATTTCTCAAATACCGAACAAATGAACTTTTTTCACCATCTTGAGACTAACAGGTTTATAATATATGTGCATGACGAACAAACGTGAACTAAACCAAATATATATACATACAGCCTTACATACATTAATATAGGCTTTCGGGCAAAGCAGTGCACTATATGGGCCCCCTTTCTAAACAAATGTAAATGACCGATAAAATTAAAAATATATTTATTGTATGAGAGAGAGAGAGAGGGGGGTGGGGCGGTGTTAACGTCCACGCGACACAAACTAGGTCATTCCGGGACTAACATGGTTTAATTTTATTTCAATAATTCGCTTGCGCGTAGGGGTCTTTAGCAGTGGGAGGAAACCGGAGGACCCGGAGGAAACCCACAAGGTTGGACAGGCGACCCTACTCCTTGTCACGTACAACCGGGGATTCGAAACCACGCCAGCTGACTCAATGACAGACCGTATGATACAGTGCGCACGTGCCAACCATTCGGTCATCCAACTTCCCAACAAATAAAATATTGTCGTTTCCAAAGTTGTTGTGGTCCTTTAAGCACCGACGTCCTAATTACCAAATGGTTAAACATTATAAATAGTAAAAGAGAGGTATATTTACAAAACTATAAGCAATATGTCGTAAACAAGGTAATTAGTGTACATTCCGACCTTGAAATATATATATTTGACTTGTATACCTGCTTTAATAATTAACAACTATTATCAGGTCACGTGGTTTAAACATGTTATGTTTATTGTAGAGATTTACTGTTAAAATATTATATTTACTCACATTTCTAAACTTCTCGCCATGGGGACTGATATTGCATGCTCTGTTGGCATATGATATATAGGGATAAAACGCAGAGAATGGATTGGCTTAAGATTCATTGGCAATATATGAAAGAAGCTGAACCTCTTTGATTATGGTCAAAATAAAGTGTTGATTTCGGTTAATCTGATGAGTTATTTCAATTAATGAGAGAAGCTCTATTAGATGAAATTTGGTTTTGCTTGATTTAATGGAAGTCAGTCGGTTTAGTTTCGTTTTTTTTTTCAATTAAACTGCTAACTGTTAATCTCAGAGTCGATTAAATACATACATACCCCCAAAAGCAGAGTTACCTACCTTGCTGGAATCCAAGAAACATCTATTGTAAAGAAATGTGTTTGTTGATAAAATGAATTTACACCCTCGTTCTTCTATCAATCTTCATCTTACTAAACTGTTTATAAATATAGTATACCTGTCTTCACTCAAACTACCTTAACATCACGAGTCGAACCACGAACACTTCAAAATGGTGATAATTGAATTTGGTGAACTACCAGAGAACTTAAAGTAACACTCGATGAACACTTAGTCAGATCCATAAAAAAACGTTTAAAACAACCAAACCACTAAAAGTATATAAATGGCGAGGCAATAATGCACTGACAGCTAAATTCCTTTGCTAATGTTTTCCTTATTTCTTCTCGATTGGCTGATTATAAGAAAAACGTATCGTAGAATATAATAGGTTCCCCTTATTGAACCGACTATAACTACAGACTAAATTGTTTTTCGATATGGCACTTACGGTTAATTAACACCGGCTTGCTTACTTGCGGTATAAACAGTCATTACGACTAATTTTACCGGTTAACCGAGAAATTATTATGATTATATATATTAGCTGTATCTTTGATCTTTGATTCTAGACTTTCAACATTTTTCTTTTATAATACATCATTCACAGACCTGTCTTGCACGTGCAATGCTTAATACCATAGTCATAAAGTGACGTTATGGTAATTAATTAATGTTCTTTATACTTCCTGGAATTCGATTCTGAACAAAGTCTGCTATTACTGAGAATCTCATATCCTTGTCGGTAAAACTGTAGTTGGGTAGTTAAAGTAGCAATATTTTGTTATTAATTTCTAAAAATCAACAAAGCCCTGCCTTTCTGTTCAATTGTAACGTTTTGTATAATGGTCTTCTACAAATTTAATGAATCTTACAAAACTTTCCTTTTCACAAATACAATGTTTAAAAACTATAATAATAGCGTTTGTAATGAGAGTTATAGAGAAATAATCAATTCTTCAGGAATAATGCAAGAATTTGAGCTTAAAGGGTTAGAATTTTTAAATTAATATGCATATTCATTAATGAGTATGATTATAAGCTGATTAATGACGAATATTAATCTGGATTGCATAGACTTTAAAGTCAATGGATTCGCAACCAGAAAAACCTTCGGGATGTTCAGTGGTTTAGAGTGGCATCAGTAGGGCAGACAAAAAATGTGTCTAGTCATTCGCATTGGGCAAAAATTGCGGCACATATGCAAATTGGTTGTGGCCCCACTGCACCTTTAACCACTGTCAAATTATTACAGAATGCAAGTCTGAAATGATCTAAGTAAACTTTTGACATTCCATTCTATTTTGTGGATTTCTTTAAAAAGTTCCTTTGTAATATGTATGAGTAAACGCAATGAAACTTCAGACAAAAAAGTCAACAGAAAAGTTATGCGTTTTCTACAATAGAATGAGGGTACCATATTGTTCAGATGAAAACGTTCTTAAAGTAAACAGCCAATTGATAGCTATATTTGTAAACTATATTTGTTTTGGCCTGGCTTATTCATTTACTTTATAAGTTTTAAAGGGACAATAACACTCTTGCTGGCTTGAAAGCTCCAGAAAATAAATAATATCTCTATCTAAGTACTAGACGTTTAAGTGTCCTACCTGTTGTGTAAATTATCCATTACATCCTATTTTACTTGTCCAGAGGGTTCGAAAATATTTTTAAATAGAAGTTTCAATCATTATGTTGAATTTTTCAAAATTTTTAAATAAGGTGTGTTAAGATGAAATTTGTATCATCAATTAATTGAAATATTCTAAAATAGTACAATTTGTTGACCAGAATAAAGATTGGGACATATTATTCAGTTACAACAAGAGTGGTATTGAGCCTTTAAATCGGAATGTCCTAGGCTTCAGGCATCGAATTCCTACGAATGGTTGAATCTATATGTTTCTAAATGGGAATGCCGTACACCTTTCCACTCAGTAAACACATTGCATTCATGGAATAAGACATTATCTACAACACGGATAAATTGAAATCCCTATACAATAATGCAAATACGTGGACATTGACAACGACTTACCATTTTGGAATATGTCCTGAAATTCCATATATCACGAAAGTCGCCTAAATTAGTCACAAGGCTTTGATGTTTACTCTCTTAGAAGATATGTCTTTCATATCCCTGGCTTATTGCTGTAATGATATAGTGGTGATATCTCCTACAGAGAATGGGAGAAATTATTTTGCCTGCGAGTGATAAGTTTGTCAGTTATTGAATATAGCGCCCTATAGCAATCTGCTTGACTTTTTACAAGACGGATGATGAACCCAGTTTTAGTGATTAACTATCTACCAATCAGTTCGTACGGCGGTTAGAAAAACACTCATCATGTCATTTTATAAAGATTACATAGCCAAAATCTATTTAGTCCAAGTATTATACAGATTACGCATTATGCACAAGATGGAAGTCTTTGTTACTGTTTTATTTTCATGTCAGGTTTGATAATAAAAGACATGCACCCTTAGTGAAGCTCTTGACCCATATCTTCCACTCCGGGTAATACCCCAGTCACATAGTTGTCACGTCAGTAATGCGACATAAGGAAATCTTGGCTCAGCCGTGATCGTCGTGGTTTCTTTCCTTCAATATCAGCCAAGCTATCACACACTAAGACGTGTCCCTGACTGGCAGGTTTTTGGCCATGATCGAAAACCTCACCACGATCGAATTCGGCTGTGTGACTACAAGAGCACCCATAAACACCCAGACAAGTCTCAATTACGATTTCTTGCGATTTCTGTTCGTAAGTTGTCTGGTAGCTCCGTGTGTCTGGGGCACCAGAGACTCGCATTAGTTATTCGGCTTTTAATGAGAAGTAGCCCGAATCTACTCGATTCTATGTTTATTTGTATATAGTGTTATTTGTTTACCTGAAGAAGGTAACTGTACTCACGGTTTCATCCATTGATCATGAAGGGTTATAAAGTAACAAAATCATATGGACAAAATGAAATGGAAGGGCGTTTAACGTCCTATTTTTCAGCACCAACCGGACTAATGAAGATGGACATGTGTCATGTAGTATGTTATTATGCAAATTTTGCCCAGACAGCGGCGCTTTGGACTACTTTTCGTCAAAACTTTCTTTACCAGATAGCTACATCTCGATCAAACCCGAAACTTCTGATTAATAAGCCAGCGGCCTACACACCGAGGTATATATTTAAAACAATAACAGATTGACCTAAGTACCTAACTAAACGATTTTAAATAAACAGATAATAACGACTCTGACTTGCTCGCGACCCCATTAAAAAAATATGAAAATATATATTTCGATTATCTAAATTGTAGACATACTGATTTGAATTTCTTAATCATTTAAATGGGAATCGATCCACTTAAGATAAACGGTGAACCAATATATTGTGAAAATTCAGACCTTTCTGAATACAAATTCGGATTATGTTTACCACCTAATCATTAGGTTATAGCTATACCACTGACGAGATTTTAACAGTGATTATTTTAATCCGCGTTTGAGAATACGGAAATGAAATGAGATGAGGTCTAACATGCCGTACATTTTTGCACCGACTCACCTAATGAAGACTGAATTGAATATACGGCCCAACCAAGCGTTTGTTTGTTAGTGAATAGTGAATTGACTTCTATATTGGATATTATGTTAAGACTTATCGTGCAATTGTATAAATTCCCAATAAATTCTTGACGTTCTCATCGTTGTTTCAGAGTCTATAAGTGATCTATTTTTTAGCCACGATCAGAATATCCTAATGGTCTAATAAAGACGTTTATAGTTCTACCTGAAAGATACACAAATCCGTTAATTGATCGATTTATTCTTTAATCAGAAATTGGCGTATTGAATTCACGAGCATGAACGGTATCTTATAGACGGGGTGGCTGTGTTGGTTTATAAAATATTAACTGACCAGTACCGGACAGACCACAAGAAAATTGGAAAATTCATTACCCAGCAATTGATTTCTACTTATGAGAAAATTTCACTGAGGTCATTCAATCGTCATACTCATAGTGTAGCATAATGGTGGGGCACTACAGCCTATGTAATATACCTCTTATTTCATGATACAGCATAGGGAACTAAAATCAAATCCACAATGATTGTATTCTGGTATGACTCCCTTATTAACGTAACTTTCCGAGCGGCTTGTAATAACTGTGGGTCGCATACTTTTAGTAATACACACTCAATCAGATTTCGACGGTAAAATGCACCACTGCGCAAAGGGTACAGTCCTTACTAATTTGTGAGAACTTAAAAAAAGAAAAAAAAAAGAAACGGAAATAAAAGGAAACGAAGTATTAACAATATACACAAGAAAGCATTTTTCTCGGCAACCACCGTATCGATTTATTTGATTTAAAATTAATTAGCAATTTGGTATACCACAACTCTATCGAAAAAAGGAGATTTTTTTATTTCCCTTTTATAAATCGTGTTTAATCCTGAATATTTCAGTCAGCATAATCGATTAATATTAGATGATGTCGCCGATTTTATTGTATACTACATTTATTATTAGAATATTATAAATTGTACAAATATAATCATTAGCTTGTATAAATGATTACTGGATACATCATATTTATAGCTATACAGTTCGATAAATTACCCATCAGGGGTTATAAATTGCCGTTTAACACATTGATGTAGCAAGGGTAATAATCTTAAAATGTTGTGGAAAAGTCACCCAGACATCGTATTACTTCTACTTTATAGACAAATCAATTATATAAATAGTTTGTTATTACGTCATAAAGATTATTATAATGGAATAGAGTAACAGGTGCTAAGGAAATTTAAATTCTTTCAGAAAGATAATGTTGTCTTGATAACCAGCTCATTAGAATGGTGGAGTATTAAAATGTTTAATAGATAAATAAGTGGATAATGACTATATATATTTGTGTAAGTATTTACGTCAGTAGAAACACCTGGGTGAAATTTGACACATTATTTGAAATACTTCCATACGTGATGTATCTGCCGGCGATTATAACTAATTCTGCACTACATAATAACTAGGAATTTACAAACCGATAATCAAATGTGTTGTTAAATAAAACACCAGACGACAGGTGATGATAAATCAATATAATAACTTTTGACAACAGTTGAAAATTAATAATAACAATTTCCATATTTATTAAAAGAAATA